AAACCATCAACAACCTTCATGGTTCAATCACCGGTAGTCGTTAAGTGATCGGATCGTGCACGGTGCTTTCTTTTTTTTGGTCTCCCTTAATCTAAATCAATTATGATTATTTTGTTTTTTTTGGTCTATGAATGATGGATTTTGATGAACGTCAATAAAACCTCCTATTATCATTGTTGACGTACATAGGAAAAAAACAAAGAAAAATTTTTGAAATTTTACCTATCCAAAGACAGACATCAGAGCCAGCATGTTGATTAACATGTTCATAGAAAAGTTGTGCATGACTATTAGTAAACTGTGGGAATAAAAAAGAGACTAGGAAGAAAAATATTGTGAATGATTAAATTACCTGACAATCTCCCCATGAACAACGAAATTCTACAGGTAGATCAGGAATAATATTTCGATTTTCACTTGATTTTTGACATGGAGGAATATTAGGATGATTATGTTCACATGTTTTCATTCCAAGATATTTTAGTTTCGTATGAAAACCATGAAATTGTACATGTCGAATAAATGATGATATATCAAATTCTTCTACATGACCACAATTACGCCATTGACATGTTAAATCTATAGATATATTGAAGAAATATTATATTTATTTGTTTTTTGTCTGTAGAATAAAAATATTTTGTTTTTTTTTTACTTGGCACTTGTTGATATTGATTAATATAATTAGAAAGATGTTCATCCAAATGTCGATAAAATTCTTTAAGATCATTTAATCGAACACAACATTCTGCACCCCATTCACATTGTAAATCATATTCAAGTTCACTTAAATTTGGTATATAACGTTTTAATCGTCGTTTTGTCGTCATTTTCTAGAAGTAAAAATGTTTATTTATTAATAGAAAATAGAACATCATTGTCTTGATTAGTGAACAGAGAGAAAAAAAAACATATATATATATCTGATTTATTTATTCATTAATTGTAACAAAGTCATTTGAAATAAATGAAGCAAGCCCTTGAAAAACTTGAGATGCTGATGCTGATGCTGATGATTCAACACATGGACGTTTATTTGCATTTGATTGGTCAGTAGTTGTTGGTCGTTTCTAAAATTGTTTACAAATTTAGATTAAATGTAATGATTGAAATAATTTTCGTCAAAAAACGATACACTGTAATCGATGCGTTTCCTCTACTATTCTCTGATAAGTTGTAAGGGATAACTCTTGAAATTTTTAGTGTAAACTTTCTAGGTCCAAACCCATATTACCTAAAGTTTTCAGCGAGATCGATTCTTCCGGGATAAAAATAGGTCTTTGACAGTGGGGTCTGAAGTCGTTTCTAAGTAAACGCACTTTCCAGTATCTTAAAAATTCAATCAGTATCGAAAATTTTTTCGAAGATTAAATTTAAGATATCGAATTTTGACCTCTATTCCAAACGCATTGCAACATATTACGAATAGCATCTATCATCACGGACATTTCAGTAAGTTAGAAGTGCCAAACTGAAGCATATATTCCAGAGTCCGAAGATTTACAAAATATGTAGCCCAGTCCTGTTAAAAATTTTTATTCCGTAGGAACTGTATTAACAGCATGTTTTTAGTTTAGACTTGCTTTCCTTCATATCTTTTACCTGCCAAGATCAAAAAGAATGGGCCGGTTCTGGGAAAAAAACATCAAAGATCGATGACACTTGGGCTCATGTCAATGACTTTAGCTCCCGAATCCGCAGATTTCTGGCGGTAACCACCGAATAACTCAGAAAAAATAGTAAGAACTGGAAAGAAGGAATCTAACGGTTTGATTTGCTCAGCTACAGTCATTTTCAACCAGAACTAAAACAAATTTGGTCCCAGATTCTTGCTTCCAAGTTCCTACCATTTTCCTGTGGGATGTCTTTTTGTGAAATACGATCTAGAAGAAGTATTGCAGTAGAAATTTGGACCTTCTCTCCGCATAGACATAGCTCATATACGATCAAAAACTGCATGGCAATAGTAAATAGTTTTTTCTTCTTGTTTATATACAACTCTCTAATTTGGTGTTGTTTTGTATTACTTTTTGTTTTAGTTTTTTTGGCGTGTATATCAATGTTAAATTTTCTGCTTTTGGATTTTCCGGTAGATGACTTGAATACTAGAAAATTGAAATAAATTAAAAAGAAAAATGATTTTGTTTTTTGTTTAGTTTTGTTATTACTTTAAGAACTGCTCGATAACGTTGAAAAGTTAATTCTACTAATTCATCAAGACGTGAATGTTGATAAAATTCTGGATAATTTTTAATTAAATTATATAATTTAATAGATATTTCAAATAGAATTGGTAAAGAAACATTAGTTGTGTCATTTTCATCAATTGATGATATGATTTTTATACCTTCACGTTCAATATCATCACGTGTTTTAAGTAAAACCTAATATAACAAAAAAAAAAAGAAAATCTTCGAATAATAGAAAAGTACAATTAAATATAAACCTTTTTTTTAATTGTTCGAAAAAGATTTTTAATTGCATGTTGACATAACATTTTTCTTTCAACTTCTCGAAGATATTTTCTTTCAATAAGAAAAAAAAAAATAATTGTTTTTTTTTGTTTTTAAAATTTAAAAAAAATTTACTTGTCAAGATCTGGTTTATCTAATAATTGTCGTAGTACTTCGATTAATATAAATAAATGTTCATCAAATTGAAGAAGAAGATCAATAAATAAACGAGTTGATTTATACATCGAAGCATTAAATGAACCAGTACGATCGGCATCTAATGGTTGAATACGCCAAATACCCTATATATATATATATCCATACATTTCTTTAATTTTATATTTTGTTTATCATTTATCTTAAACTTACATTAAATAAATTATGTTTTGAACGTTCTTGATAAAGACCAATAATTTTAGGATAATTTTTTAATTCAAGTACTCCTCCACCAAGTAAAAATTCTAAACTAAGTCGATTATTTCGATAATGTTCACTTGTATGAAAGAAATGTGCAAGACGATAAAGTCCACGATAATGTCGATTATAACGAGCTATACATATATAAAGACCTTCGATGCAAAGCCATATACATTTATTATATGTAGTTAACCAAGGATCGGTTATGAGATCTAAATAATGTTTTCCTTTTATAGAAAAGACAATCATAAAGATTTAACTACAAAACGGAATACTATGTATAGGATTGCGGAGGAAGACTTTCTCTATCTAATACTGTATGCTTTATTCAACTCTACCGCATATCGTTGATATGTCAATAGATGACATCCTCTTCGACAGGGCGATGGTAGAATGCGACCAATTAAGCATCGTCTATTATCATATCAACAGAATGCAGTAGAACCTAAAAATGCATATACTATTAGATAGAGAAAGTCTTTCTGTACAAGCCTACATATATTCTCTTCTATAGCCAAACTCTTACAGTCGGTTTTAATGAAAGAATTTACCTGATTTATGAGGAAAATATAGATCACTGATTAATTGACCAGAATGAGAATCACTCGGACTAAAAATAGAAGAAATACAAAGAAATGAAGATTTATAGATAAAATTGCGAATTTATTTGTTAATTCTCATGTAGATTGATGTATTATTCTATCTGATAAAAGTATATAACTTTAATTAATTATAGTTCTGTCAAGTCAATCATGGACGAACATTTATGAACATAATAGTATCATAATTAATGAACAGCAGACAGCGACATTGTATATTCGCAAACGTCTGTGAATAATTGACTTTTGACGGTATCTAATGAATGAATTATATGAGAATAATGGTAACAAATCAACAGTACGTCGCAATTTCTTTGAGATAGTGACTGTACAGGCATCAAACATATAATATAAAATAACAGAAGACTACATTTTTAATATTTTTTCGCTTTTTTTTTTGGCAGGTAAATTATTGCAAATGAATGTTACTAACACCTTTCTTTACAAAATATTAGTATCTAATGATAAAAATATTGTTCTATTTTAGAAAATCTTCTAACGAAATAACCTTTATAATCTACATAAGTATAATAAAGTCAAATTTTACAATGACAAATATGATGATTTGTTAAGCTGACATGTTTATGACCTTATTTTTATAATTATGTAAATTAAAACAATTATCGTCAAAGGTAAGTTAAGAATTTTCTAATTTTAAAAAAACTTACATAGTTGATTTTTCGTAATAACTTGTTGCAAATGGTTTATTTTGCATTTCAGTTAAAAATTCATAAAGTTCATTTAATTTATCAATTGTTAAATCTGTTGATTCTTTACTATGACGATATAAATATTTAAGTGTTGATGCATGTATTCGATAAAACATCTACATAAAAGATAATTCGAAGATAAGAAATCAATTTTAAAAAATATTTTAAAATTTTACTTCAACAGCATGACAACCAAGTAGAGTACACTTTGAACTTGATGTTGCTGTATGATGACCAAGTCTACGTGGATAAACAGCTTTATGTTCATGTAATAGATCAAGAGCCTAGAAATAAATAATATTATTCAAAACAAAAAAAAAGTCTTTTATTCTTTACATCAACATATTTTTTTAATGGACTAGATAATTTATTTCGATTAAGTTTTTCTTCAATTTTAGCCATCATATATAAATATGTCCAATCTTCTTTATTTTCATCATTATCTGTACATATATTTGCTTTTTCATATGCTTCTTTACATATATTTAATAGAAATGATCGATCTGGAACATAATCTGTTGCTTTATCTTTCTAAATTAAAATAATAAAAAAACCAAACAACAAAATAATTTTGTTTAAATGAAAAGAAAAGTTTTTGTTTTACATATTTTGAACAATATGATTGTAATATATAAGTTATTTCAGCATACTCCATCCAAAGTGTATGATTATTACTATCAACAGAAACAGCTTGTCGAAAAAAACATGAAGCAGACATATGTACATTGAATATACGTGGATCAAAATCATCAGCCTAGACAAAAACAAAAGAAAAACGTTAAATAGAAAATGATCTAAAATTGAAATAGATTTCAAATAGTTATAATAGTTTTACTAGATACGGGCAAGATAATTCTGGGATCAGAATCAGGGTCAATACTTATTCATTGGGAACGATATATTTTATGATAGTACAAAACTTTCGTCGAATGTTATGTTTTTACGATTGATGTGTTTTAAATAGCTATGATTAAGATGGTCTCGTTCATGTTTAACTCTTTTCTAAAACAAAGTATGAATAATTCTTCAACAACACAATCGATTTCGATGGGCTTTTTATCATTCCATAAGATATGCTCTAAAGTTTTGTTCGACTGAATTATTTATGATTATAAAATAATAACTATCAATCGAATTTGACAAGTAAACACGAAGTCGAAAATGTTATGAGGAAGGATGGAAAAATACCTTTGCCTTTCAGCTAACTTGTCGTATGAGATGCTGTCCAGAGTGAATATACTCAAGTGTTTGAGCTGCCCATTCATACTAACTAACCAGAAGAGCAGGTTTATGTCATAATGTAGGCAATATGCTATCAGACGAGTGATTCAAGATAATTAACCATTAGTACATTGTGGATACGATTCGAATAACGCCGCCACTCAAA